AAAAAAAAAAAATGCAATCAGTCCTTCCCTTCAAGAAATAGAGATAAAAAACTAGTCCATGAAGTTCGGCAGTTCATATCAAACTGTTTAAAGGATCTCGATCATTCTTTCAACAAGCGACGATCCCTTCCGACACCAAAGTCTATACATAGCCACTTTCAAACATTCCACTATACTCTTGAAAATCGTATGCAAGCTATACGGAACGAGAAACAGGTATATACATATTATTTTTATACATGTAAACAAATACTGAGTTGTGTATATAGAATTCACCTTTAGTAAAGTATATGAACCGTGTGTATCAACTAGAGCAAGACATCTTTTTACATCATTATTACATCGAAAGCCAACTCAAATTGCTTTGGGACCTTGGTCACATTGCCCTTCGTTCACCCCTTTTGGCTACCTACTGGAATCAGAAATACGAGACTAGCCAACAGATGAGTCAAGACCTTTTGAATGAACTAAAGACGGCACTAGAGCAACAGCTACCATGTCAAAGAGACGTAATGTGCGCCATCTGTTTATCTATATTGCATGAACCAGTGACGCTTAAAGGATGTCATCATACGTTTTGCAAGGACTGCCTGCAGCAGCATTACTGTTACCAATGCTCTGCCAAGAAAAAGAAAGGGTTTCTACTGGTGAAGGCGCCACTGATTGGCTGCTCTTGCTTTATTCTGGATGAACATGGTCAGTTAGTACCTGCTCATCATCAGTCTTGCCCGCTCTGTAGGCAGTCCTTTAAACCTGAAGATTGTGAACTTAATGTAGATCTTGAAAAATTTATCTTGGAACGCTTCAAGCAGGATCTTGAGGACAGGAAAAGGGGCAAGTGCATCTTACAATTTCACACGTTTTTTGATATAAACACTTTTTTTCTTATAGAAAGCAAATCCTATTGAACTTGCTCTATTATTATTCATTTTTACAAAAGGACAAAGAACAAAAAAGAGAGGGATTTAATGAAATATGTATATAATATGTATATGTGGTGGTTTTTTGTGTGTATATAAAAAAGGAATACTATGAGAAATAATACTAAATAATACTAATACTAATAAAATAAATAATAAAGAAGGAGAAAGGAATGAATGTATATCAGATAATAATGACAAAAGTTGAGGGGGTTATAACATATTTTTATGATCTATTCTTCTTCTTCTTCTTCTTCTTCTATAATCGTCTTGCTGGTTATCGGTAACACTCTAGATTCTTGCATACCATATATGCTTAGTCTAGATCTTGGCGCATATTCAAACCTTGAAGATCGTGCTTTGAAGGGAGAAGAAAGAGTGTTTTCCTAAGAAATGTATATTAGTACATTCCCTTGTAGTAAACGAAATGAGACTTACTATAGAAACAGTAGTTGAAATACCAGTTGAAAGGATAGGAGGTGGCGAGGGAGATGTTTCTTTGGGTTTGATAAATTGATCTTGCTTAAGTTCTAAGACAGGCGGTGGCGGTGGCGGCGGCGATTGAGATGATACATCCTGTATCTTTTTCTCGGGCGCCGGTGATAGGCTGAGCGCCTTTTCCTCTATAGGACTTATAGCAGGAGAAGGAACAATGCTGTATTCTACTTGAGAGTTCTTTTGCGGAGAGGCAGCCATCGCAGGAGGGGAAGGAGGTGGTGTTGGCTGTTGATGTTGTTGTAGGTACATCATTGAATACCGCTTTGCACAGATATCTATTTCTTTTGGTTGTGCTGTATCATCGCTTATAATAGAAAAGGTATCAGCAACAAGACGTGCTGAAGTAAGCGCAGTAGGTGGCATGACAACATGAGCTGATGGCTGTTTAGTGTATTCACGCAAACTGTTGCTACTTGTAGTAGTGATGCTTGCTGTTGTAGTTTTGCTGTTGGTATTTTTGCTCGTAAAAACTGTGCCATTATAAGTCAATTGATCCAATTCGCTCACCGGTGGTTCAGTCAGCTGAAGCATTCTACGCCGATATTTTTGAGATCCAGTTCTGTAGATAGGCGGTGACATGATCAGGTCGTCATCTCTGGTATTTACTGCAGGTATAGTATAATTATTGTTGTTTGCTGAAGTGGCAATTGATCGATGTGCTTGTTGTTGCTGTTGTTGCTGTTGTTGCTGTTGTTTGGAGCCAAACCATGATTTGACAGAGGTAAACCACCCTGGTTTATCTTGTTGTTGTGTTGTTGATCCAAAGCCGATGGTTTGGATAGTATGATGTGCAGTTGGTTTAGGATAAGGTTTTATATCAAATGAATCTAAACGCACAGCTGGCTGACTAATACTATTACTACGGCTGATAGTTGGACTTGTCTGGATGCCACAGTCTACGGCATTTGATTTCTTCTGGTGGTTTTCTATTGCAGATGCAAATGCATTGGGAACTGAGTCTATTTCTTCTTGAGATTTATTGGTCATGTTCTCAAGTAATAAGTGCCAAAGTGTGCTCGAGGTATCACATTCGCCTGTCTGCATCTTGATGAGTGCATCTCTGTCAAAGCCTGCCGCCGTCAGCGCTGCAAACAGACGCTGTTCAACTGGCGTCATTCCTTGAGGCTTTTGCTGGGCAAATGAGCTAGGTAATGATGTTCTGAAGGAAGACGGCGATGTAGAAGAGTATCGATTATTATTCAAAGTAGGTGCAGAGAATCGAGGTGATTTTTCGGTAAGACCCAGACTGGATTTAATCTGCGGTGAGAATATGAATTGAGGCGATGTTGGCACGCTTTCAACGATCAAGTCGATGTCTGTTGAGGTGCTGTTATTTGAAGTAGTTGAAGAGGACGGTGTCAAACCCTCATCGATCATGTAATCCTCAATCTCGGTCATCCAAGGATGATTGATAATAGCATCCAAACTGAAACGATTTGAAGGCTCTAATTGAAGCATGCCGTTGATAAGACTACTTAGCTTTGAGCTGAAATAATAAGGCATTTGGTAATCCACTTGAACAATTTTTCTTTGCGTAACAACTTCAGAATCGTCATCGAAAGGAAATTCTCCAGCGAGAAGGGTATAAAGTATGACTCCTAAAGACCAGATATCGGTTTCTACGAGACGGTGAGTATTAAAGGGGAAGCTACTATAGTGATTGCTATAGTTACCAGGGCCGGTGTATTTTTTACGAAGGATGACTTCTGGAGCTGAATAACTTAGACTTCCACAAAATGTTTCTAAATATTGGTTTTTTTGAATGTATCTTGCAAAGCCAAAATCGCATATTTTGACATTATCGTCAGCATCTAATAGTATGTTCTCTAATTTGAGATCTCTATATGTATTGTAGTAAGTATATAAGGAGAACGAAAGACAAAGAAATATAAGGAGTATTAACCTGTGAACAATATGATGCATATGACAATAATTGATTGCGTCTGTCAGCTGATGGAACCATTTGTGAACTCTTGCTTCAGAACAGCGACCACCAGAGAGGGTAAGAGCATCTAGGAGATCACCATTTGGACAGTATTCAGATATGATGTGAATAGCTGATTCTGTTGTAATCATTTCGTACAACATGACAACGTTTGGGTGTTTAATTTGTTTATGATGATGTATTTCTCTAGCCATCATTGGTGCATGTTGTTTACTGATCTTTTTAATAGCAACTACTTTACCAGTCAGTTTATGGTAACCTTTTTTAACTTTGCCAAAGGTGCCCTTTAAAAAATTATTATTATTATCATGAAATCATTATAAAAAGGACAGCTAGAACTACCTCGCCTATGGTTTCTCCTATGGTATAACATCCAACTGAGGTTATTTCATGAGATGATAGTTCTTTTAATAATTCATTATAATCCACTGCCAACTGCAATAGGTATTAATAAGTACACAAAGTAAAATGACATTTCTTTATTTTACCTTTGCTTGTTGATTATGAGCAACAGAATTCCTTGGTGAATTTAGCATGATATTTAATATATACTTGTAACAATAAAGAAAAAGGAATGGAAAGGTTGATGTGTACTGCTTGTAGTTATAGTCGTAACATGTAATAATGAAAAAGGAAAGTAAAATAAAAATAAAAAATAATAAAAAGAAAGAAGCTTCCTTAGTATATTTTTTATTGAATAATGAAAAAGAAGAAAGAAAAAAGTACTTTGAAAAAACTTTTTTTGGTAAAACCTCAAATTAAATAGGGGGTTGAATAAATAGGGCAAGTGTATAAAAGGAATACATAAAGCTGATCTTTCGGGGCAATTATGGTAAGTGCATACTTAATTCGAGTGTCACCCCATTTACACTATTTTCACAAAATTGAGTAACACGTATATCTTACTTTAAATAGTTGTAGCCAATAATTTCGTTTGGTTATCATTTCCTATTTAAACAACACTTTCACTTTTTAATAAGGAGAATAAATGTTCTTGTTGACCCATCTAATAATAATAATAATAAGAATAATAATAATAGTTTGATGCTGAAGGATATAGATGAATATGTTAGTAGTGGAATTTATATTATTCTCTATTAGATGCATGTCATCTTTTGATGGTTGCACCCGAATGGGGAGGGAACTTTGTCATATACGCTCTGACGAGTGTTTGTAAAGATTTGACATGATCAATCAAATAAAGATAGAAAAAAAAAAAAAGATTAAACGATCTTTTTTTAAATATGCAAAGATCAAGTTACAAGTGTATTTTCAAATGATGACAGATCAAAAGCATTCACAACATTTGATTCAGGTAATGCAAGGTTACCTCAATGTCAAGATCTACTATTCTCGAATATGGAAAAAGAAAATCAAGAGAAGACGCAAATGTAGATCAACTACCACAGTGAAGTTATCAGATGCGCCCAATGTAATACATAAGGGAAATTGCAGTCCTTTTAACTAAAACTAGACGATTACAAAAACAATAAAGGGGGCATCATAAGTTAGTTATCAAACAGTAAACAGGAACTTTTCTGTCTTTTAAATAAAAAGAATATAATTTACTAAATGTAAATCAACTATTGCTGATAATACTACTAAAATATGAATAAATTAAGGGAATAATCATTAAATAAAATGACACGTAAGCTTGTCAATATGCCATCTGTAAACAAAAAAAGATGACCTGTCAATGAACTTTTTTCTAAGCCCACTCAAACTTACTTTTGGCGTTGAACTTAAAATAGCAAATCATGTGCGCTTCCCTTCCTTTCGCTTGATAGTCTGCGCAACAAAATTTAGGTTATTGCTATTTGCACAACACATCTGCACAGCATTTTCCCAATTAGTGACGTAAGCAATTCAACTTGCACTAGACAAACCACACCTACACAACACTATGTACAACCACTGAAGTATAAGAGAAGCATGCGTCAATGAGTCTGTGATAATCTCTTTATTATTTTGAAATGAGAGAAGGCTCATTATTCATAAGAAAACAAGGTTATTGCATGAATTTATCACGGCTAATGAGAATTGGATATGGCGTATCTATAAGAATAACGCATTTTGTGGTCAGTTTTCTTTGCTTTTTCTTTCTTCAAATAATCTTTTACAAGATGAAGTATTTATAAGATAAACACGATAGATATGCTGTTTGCTGTGTATATAGCGGAAACCCAAAATTTTACTTCGCTTTCTTTCACTTCCTCTCATTAACAATGACGAATCACTCCAGGTATAAAGTCAGCTTCTAAGTGGTCTTTAAAGAATTTTCGTAAGCATTTTAAAGAGGGTTTTAGTAAGGATCCTGCAGCAGTGTATAAGTCGGCTCTGCAAAAAAGTAAAAATACACTCAAAAGGCAACCCTGAGCCTATTTTACTGGAGATAGACGTGCAACTACATAAGCTCAAAAGCCCAACCTCAAACCCAATCCCTGAGCCATCTCCGGTATATTTACTCATACAAAAATAACCTTTTTTCAAAATTTTCTCACCACATACTTTAGGCAGTTACTACGTGTATCAAGGAGAAGGTGATTTGATAGTAACAACAGCTCAGAAGAGCCTCATAAGAAGAAGCAGAAGGTAAGAATAATACTATATGCTCATCTTTCAACAAAAAGAAAAAAGTTTTGTTAATTTCCTAGCGTATTATCTACCTTAGGTTCATCATGACGAGCAGAAAGAAAGAGGTCCTCTTTTCTTGCTGATGCAGAGTCGGATATAAACTCTCATAAGTACAGGTACACATCAAAGAAAGAAACCAAATTTACTTGTACTAATTTGTAATTGCTCTAGCCCCGAAAAAAAAAATGGAGTGCTTAAGCTCACAAATAAACCAAAGCCAAGACTTCCTATGAGTACTAGTGTTCCCCAACTAAAGAGCTTCATTGAGGCCTTACTGTATAATGTATAAAAAAAAATATAAAAATACTCGAGACTTGATAGCTTATTTTCTTATAGGCTTCTACCGAATTGGTGAATAATATGGAAAATACTAAGTGTCTGGCAGAGCACAAAGCTGAATGTAGGTTTGTGAAGGGAATCTTTTTAGTTATGTAAGTACGATTGTATATTTATCTCCCAAAATTCATACTCATTTCAGATTACTAGGGCTAACATGGTTAACAAATTGCCTTCGATGACACATTCTAAGGCGACCTTTAATTACAAGGTGCTTCACCCTTGCTTCGAAGCTACTGTTAACCTTCTTTGCCATACGTTTCATCCTAGACCTTACTACGTTCCCGACGAAGAGCCTCTCGAGGCGATGATCCAACAGCTGGTCCCAATAGGCTCAAAAATTGATCGCAGGAAAGTATATAATGCTGATGGTATAATTCGGCTACGCGAGTTTTATGATATTGAAGGTTCTCTTGCTGGAGACGGCAGGCCACTTCCAGAATAAGGGCACAGTGAAAATATGCTTTGACAACAGCAAAGGTATGTTCGCTCTCCTTTCCATGCTTAAGAGTATTGCTGGCCGCTTTAGCCGTGCTTCGTCTGAGGCTTTCCAAAAGCTCAAGGTTTATTTTCATCTTATAAAGCGTTAGTTTGCCAATCCTTATATATTTTGGCTTCTCATTTGGTTCATCATCAATATTTAAATCGTTCTCCGCAACCTTGATCATTGACAACAGAAAAGTCAGCTAAGTAGCCTTACTTTATGTGGCTATTCTGTGCATTATTTTTTATTAATTAGTCTTCTAGTTACATAATGTTACCTTAATCAAAACCAACTAATTTTTACTTTGACGATCAAATTACTTTACAATTTACTTAAAAGCTTTACTAACCTCAGTATGCTCCTTTTTGTTTCTAATTTTAAACTTGGTTCTCACTATTGATTATTGGTCAATAGACCAAAGTTAACAAGGAGATCGCTTCCTCTTTTATAACGACTTTACTCTTTCATATCAAATAATACACAAGGCATTATATATTACATATACTATGCTAAATTTCGCTTTTATATCCTTTCTTGTTGGCTGTATCTGAACGTCTCCGTAATATTCCACAAAGGAAAATGAGATAAAAAACTTACAAGCAGCTATGGATTTTGAAAAGTAAACAATTGTGAAACGAACAGATGAGTGTTTCCATTTTCCTGTTTGTGAAAAGCATTTTGTTTTAACGAATGGTTATCGACAGCATTTGCCTCGCGAAGGGCTATCTGCAACTATCACACGGACAAGAAACATTGGCGATAACTCTAACAAGCAACTACCAGCCATAATCTCTAAAGTCAACCATTACAATGTGGAAAACACGCCAACGGATAAAGCTTGGCAGCACATTCCATCAGGAACTCTGGAACTGGAAAATTGATTCTGTTTTATTAAAAATAAATTTAGGAAATAGGATAAAATTATGATATGTATGAAAAAAATGATTGACGCGTATTAAAAAAAGTATTTACGCAAAGATTAAAGATGCGTGCAAAAGCAGACGACATACAAATGAGAGTAATAAGTACCGAGGAGAGAATATAAAGGATAATACAGTTAGTTATGTAAGAAAATTATTATATATAACTTACTCCAAAGGCATCTAGATGTGTCCTAGCGATAACTAGGACGGAGAAACATCGTCTAAGCGTATTCTAGTTCTTGGTTGCTCCTGATCGTTCGCTCTTCTCCAACGTCTTGTAGGAGCAGCAGCAGCCCTGCGAAGCATATGAGGAACCATGCCATTACATCGAAGCCTACGAAGGATGTGCTCGTAGTTAAGGCAAGCAGCAACATCCCTGTTCCATAAGCGATATCTGTCTGGTGCTGCCATGGTAGGTCTGCAGTATAGATCGGTGCATCTACAAGCAATGTTCAATCACTATAAAGTCATACACGTGGTTCATGTATTATTACCTTAAAAGGCTATGGCAGACAACAGCAGGATATCGCTCACATTGATACGGTCGTGGATTTGGAACACGACGGAACGTGTGAAGGCTTTCGTTGTGACATGTTGGACAGCACTTGCTGGTCTTGTACTCGTCTATAAGAAAGACTTGAAGCCTATGTTTCTTGAAGAACCCTCGGAAACCAAGGCTACGGATAGGCTCATAATAACTAGCATAGGGAGAGGACCAGTTTCCCATCACAAACACGGCGTCTTCTCCAAACTTGGCGCGTAAGTCTTGAATAAGCTTTTGATCGGCACGTTGTTTGTTGAAGTACGCTGAAAGACGGATCTTGCGAAAGAAAGGGTATCCATTGTCATGGTTTGTGATGATATGTCCATAGAATCGACTGAGAACGGCAGAATGCTCAGATCTAGCTTGAAGGAAGCGGTCAAAGTCTTCTACGAACATGGTGCTGCTTGGATGTTGAGAAAGGGCTTGCTCAGCTTGAACGACATCAGGATTCTGGGCTTTGAGATCTTACAGCGCTATCCGTAACAAGATAATACCATTTCATATGTGGGTGCTGATCCATTTCTTCCATCGTGACCTTCAGAAAGCTAAAATAATGACCAGTTACTGTCCCTGTGCTCGTTAACTCAGCATAACCTTCTCTCTTTCTTTTCTTGGCTGGCGGCTGCGGTAATCTCAGGCTACACTTTATTAATCCTGAAGCAGAGATCGCACCTAAAATCGTTGTTGTTTGTGCTCGCGTTTTGGGCACTGTAACCACAGCAGGCAATCCTTTTTTTTGACCAGGCCATACTACGTTTTAAATTAGTATGAAATGTAGATTCACCGAGAAAGACGCAATTAGTTCTGAAATCCATGTCCGTACACCCTCACTTACGAACCCAGTCAAAACGCTCCTGAATTTTTTCTTCGCTGTTCCTATCTACAGACTGAAACTGGGCTTTTTTGAATGACAAGTTACATTCAGTTCTTACAAAATTGTAGACAGTGCTTTTAGAGACCTTAAGATCCTGAAGCTTTTGAAGTAGTCGCTCCATCACTTGCTCCAAGACGGCTGAAAGATTCTAATCTATGTACTCCAAGATAACTTGCTCGTGTTCTTCATGAAGTATATGCGAGCGGCCGATTTTCTGATGCTTTATAAAAATACTATCAGGATCTATTTTGTACATTTGAGCCCATCTTTAAGCTGTGCGAACATGAATACCAATTTGTTTTGCAGCAGCTGAAGCACTCATAACTTTCTCAAGCATCAGTTTAAAGAATCTAAATTGATCCGTATAGAGCGTGTACGCTCGCTTAATCGGCGCCTCCTTCATGTAAACATCTGCATCTTCATCTGCCATAGAGGCTACGACGAAATTATTCTTCTGAAGCTGATTATGCAAATACTGGGCGTATGAGCTAACTGTTTCTAAAGCATATCGCACTTCATCAATGATGTAGTCCATAGGCTCAGGCCTACCGTATTCATCAACTGCATTACCGTGCCCGTCTTTATAGAAAATTTGAAAGCTCATACTGTAATACTTGGTTTTTAATGAGAAAGAGAGTAAAAAAAAGAAGAAAAAAGAGAGCTGACAGTGCTTTCATGCTTAATATACTCATATTTTGTACAATAAAGCTTCTACATATACGACATTTAATTTGTTAGCAAGCGATATCAACCAATGGCTAACGCGACATTAGAATTTAACAAGCGCGAATTTTACTCTTGGTATCAGTGTCAATAAGGGCAACATCGTTAGTGTAGAGCAGCTAATTCATGAGGTGGTTCCAAATGAACTTAGACTCAGCGATAAAACTAAGTGAAGGCATGCGAAGGTACGCTAATAGACTGTTACTAAGATTGAGCGCAGGAGTTGTCGTATTCTAAGTTGAATAGGGGTCTATAAATGGTGTCTACATATCAATAACAAAAGTTCAGTAACATAAACTGACCAACCACAAACCCATATAATAATTGTAAATATCAATTTTAATATCCTCACATTTATTCTTTACAATAAAAAAAAAATATAGAGTCCCACTGTGCTTTCTATCCATTACCACTACTACTACAGCAACTATAGCAACTACAAACGCCACAGAAATGCTCATATTTAATCATTCTACCTCCATGAACTTCGATCTTCGTATGCATTTTATCTCAGCGCACGTAAACCAGCAAGATTGTTAGGGATTTCGACGGATCCAATATGCTGAGAAGTGTACAATACTGGCGCTACAAGTTCCATGATATTCAACTCGCCATCCTCGCCATTGACTTGGAAACTTGGGATTAGCAAACGTTTCAAGTCCACATTCTTGGTAAACTGGCGATCAGCAATACTATTCGAAATTACTTTGGATTCTGGGTAATTAGCCGACTATCATTAATAATATTACCACTGTAAGATCAGATCTTTATTATTAAAGATCAAACTCATTTTTGGTGTCCGTACCTCTCCTACAAAATCTTGCTTCGTTGCTGTTTTACATTTCTCTTTCTTCAGAATTGAATTGCTTCTATTCAAGAGACGGAGTCTATTAATGGTCATCAGTAAGGCCGTTCTTACATTATTATTTATTAAGTCTTACATATGCGCATACATCACAAAGTCTGATTCACTAGAAGTAAACGCATTTTCTGCTTGGAGTTTCAAGCAAAATTGGTATGCTTTCGGCAGCCAACTGTTGGCTTTTCTCTTTTTTTGATATCATCTCTTTTAATTCATATACCAGATTTTTCAAATGTTTCCATGCTAAGTAGTTTTAATAAAATCGAAACGTTTCTCTGAATTACACTTTGAGCTCTGTGATCTGGCTGCTGTAATCATTCTTTATTTATTCAAGCTTGACAATACTATAAAAACAAACAAGGGAAAGAGCGACAGCAATCAATCAAGATCACTTGATGCGTAATACTATGATGAACTAGCTATCATGAAGGGAAAAATAAAATGACGCGTAAGTTAGTCTATATGGCATCTATAGTGTTTACTACAGATTATTTGACTCTCTGACCACTAATGATTATTCCACGGCTAATGTGGCTGCTTAGTAGTACAACCCTCATGTTTCTATTCTAACGATGGTGTAAGTATCGTGGAGCATGTAAAACGAATTCTAACACTTTCTCATGCAAAGTGTAACAGCATGCCTGTTTGTGTGAATTATGTTTGTAACAGTGATTTCTTGGAAAGAGTAACCCTTTGCACGTTCTTGCTTGAAAAAGTTGTTTTTACAATGCAACAGCATTTGCTACTATCTGGATATGGAAAAAAAAAATCCAGCTTATATCATAGAAAACGACTATGATTGATGGTTTTACATTACGATTCTAATGCTGTCCTAGAAGAAATAGTCTTGAGAATATATTTTTTGTTTGCTTATTTCATCAGGTTACACTTTGTTCATATTCTGCATTACAAAGACAATCTCTCTTTTTTTCTTTCTCTGCCCCTGTTTGCCCTTTTTCTTTTACTCGTTCCAGTTATTACTTTTAGCGCACAACCATTTATACTCCTGCCTCCCTTGCTTCCTCCCATTTGGATGACCCTGGAATAACCCTGCTAAAAGTGCGCCCTTGTATAGTTGTCGGAGTGAACGGACAAAGGGTCGGTAAGCGGAGAAACAACATTGTCTTTGGTTTTCCTTTTTGGAATAAAATTTTCTGTGTTAGTACCTGAGCTTTTTTTTCTACGCATATTGCTTATGTCCATTCTATTGAGTCGATCATTTACCAGGATAACATCCAGGTACACTCTGCATAGATTGATACATACAGCACGACCATGTCTCAATGTAGAAAAACCTACGGCAGAGCCTACTTTAAATAAGGTCACTAAGGGAAGATCGAAATCAATAAAAAGAAAACTACCTTCTATACCTAATTTACCTGGTAAAAAAAGGATTTGCCCCGATCATTCCCAAATATTAATATTTCATACGTTTTTAGATACTTTTTTATCAACCAACTACTTTTCTCATTCCAACATTAAACCATTAAAGGCGGCCAATCGATACGATGACATTGTAGACAATAAAGTATGGAAAGAACTTGAATGCAGCATACGATCAAGCCTTGCACCAAAAGGATCTATGGCAGCACTAAACCACACAGATCATTTAGAATTAGCTATACCCCATCCTGGTTCCTGCTACCTTCAAGATCACATTGCAAAGGAACTTGCACATAAAGTAAAAGCTGATTTACTGGTTTTAGATTCATTTGATTTTATATCTTTGGCACAACAAACATTCCATCGCTACCGTAAGTTTGTCTTATTATCTTTGTCTACAGAACACTGATATTTTGTATATATATAGCAGCATCATTATTACCAATGATATCCGCACCAGATATGGATTCAAATGCTATGCTGGCCGTGAAGACATTGATTAGCGATAAAGAAGCAAAGGCTGATATGGAACGTTTAAAGAACAATATTATGCAAGAAGTAGCCAAAAGCCTTGGAAGCGAAGATAATGAATCGGAAGAAGACATGGAGGATACTGGAGATGATGTTGACGACACGGTGACGATAAGGTTCAACGAAAGCGATTACGACGTTAATTTGAAAGAATTTGCAAAGGGCAATACTAGTAAAATGAATGCATCACTCCTCAACCAGGTGTCGTTTAAATATACGGCCATGTTTAAGAACGCACTGTCTGTAACAAAGGAGAGCAAAATCATTCACCTAAGAGATTATGCAGTTATGCAGGACGCCTTCAGTCGCCTCATGTTGAAATCACTTGTCGCTGCTGTTGAAGACTTGAAACAGAATGGACATAGTATAATGATTATCGCCTCCCATTCACATGCAACATCAGTCAAAGATTATTTTACTCCTATTCTACCTAATATGCGCAGTATAACCCTTTTACCTCCTTTGGGATACTGGGATCAATGGAATACAGTCATGAAGGAGGATGAGACGAAGCGAACAGCCGAAATAAATGCAAAGGGCTTAATTTCAGTTGCGATTCAAAAGAACGCTCTCAACTTGGAGATTCCTTCCAGCCATGAAGTCTTGATTAATAGTTTAATGGAACTCGAGGGAATGTCTGATTCTATCTGGACCTTGCAGGAAGTCGACCGCCGCGTTTCAGTAGCCATTGGTAACGCAATAGAAAAGAGTAGAGTTAAACTAGAATTGCAAGACTTTAAAGAAGCTAATGAAATCGTACTACACTCATCTCAGTTATCAGAGCAAAGCATGCAACGTCTAAAGTCAGCACATAACATGGCACTTCAATCGAATGGTAGCGTAGACATGGATGCTTTGAAACGTACCTGCAACAGATATGAACGAAAGCTCTTGTCAAGAATCGTAGACCCCAGTAAGTTGATAAAATAGTATTCACTCCCTTTTTTGGCTGATTGTTATTGTTAGACAAGGTACAGGGATCTTTCAAAGATGTACGTGCACCACTATCGACAATTGAAACGTTACAATCTTTAATTTCGCTCCCTTTGATTCGTCCGGACTTATTTAAACAAGGTATCTTGAAGAAAAACTTTATCCCTGGCGTGCTACTGTTTGGTCCACCCGGAACGGGCAAGGTAAATAAATTATTTCATATCATGTGCTTTTACTGATTTCGAACAGACCATGCTTGCTAAAGCTGTAGCAAAGGAAAGTGGTAGTAGAATGCTGGATATTCAAGCAAGCGATGTGTATGATATGTACGTTGGTCAAGGAGAAAAAAACGTGAAAGCCATCTTTTCACTAGCAAGAAAACTTTCGCCTTGTGTTGTGTTTATAGATGAAGTTGACAGTTTGATGAACAAACGAGGATCAGATTACTCGTCCAAATCTCATAGAGAGATTATTAATCAATTCATGGTAGAATGGGATGGTTTATCAAGCAATAATCAAGGTGTCATCGTTATGGCAGCCACCAATAGACCATTTGACTTGGATGATGCCGTTCTAAGACGTATGCCTCGACGTATATTAGGTAACTTTTAAAGTTAAAAAGCTTTTTCTGATAGCTAACGTGTCTACTAGTCGATTTACCTAATGCGGAAGACCGCTTAGAAATTCTCAAGATTTTGTTAAAGGATGAGCAGTACGAAGTGCCACTGCTCGAAATAGCCAAGTCTACGGAGCACTACTCTGGCTCGGATCTTAAAAATGTGTGTGTAACAGCCGCATTGAAGGCAATACAAGAGCAAGTCAATGCAAAGACAAATAACTCTATCATCTTAACTATGGAACACTTTAAGGAAGCTCTGAAAATGGTTCCACCTAGCTTAAGCGAGGAAATGGGCACACTGACAGAGATCCGAAAATGGGACAGTCAGTTTGGTGACGGTAAAAAGAAGAAGAAGACAAGTATTGGATTCTCTTGAGAAACACCACCCATGTGCAATTCGCAAGGATAGACTATAAAATGAATTTTGCTTCCCCTCTCTCTTTTTATTTTCTTTTTTCTTTTGTGTATAAATAACAAATTATAGATCCAAATGGTACATAGCATAAATAAAGTTTTGTATAAAGTATGGTTTGAATAACCAAGTCGATTTCATTAGGGCAATATTGATCAAGAAGAGCATAATGACATTGACAAACTGTCCTTACGTCTATCTAATCTTATTCATGAAGCAAATAAAGCCATAAGACAAGATAGACAGCCTATAAAGCGAAGACTGAAGCCCATGTTGCAGACAAGGCAACACGACCAATTAACACACTCCTTCAATCGTCTCAACACTTCTATAGCGGAGGTCCGTAATCTTTCCCGAGGACTAACATCTATCCGACAAGTTGATATTTTGCTTTTATTCTTATGCGTGCCACTATTACATATACCATCCACTATTGTTTCTCTCTTGCTCGATCTCGTTTCTTTTCAAGATGAACACTCGTGGCTCACCTGGATCCTTCTTCTGGGATTGTCTCTTTTTATCATCACACAACTGAAGGAACAGACTGAAGGCACAGTCATACGTAAAAGACCAAAAACTGTTAGTCTACCTATCAGGAACAGCATGAAGCCGATAACAGAACAACGAAGATACTCACTGTGACAGAGTCTATATGTTTATATTTTATTACAAATTTAATAAATACAAGGAATGCAAAATTCTACAATCTAATACACACAGCCGTCTAGTTGTGTATATGTGTGTGTATATGTGTGTGTGGGTGTGTACGATTTACCAAGAATCAATCTTCATGGTACCGTTTTCTAATAAATTAGTGTGCATCTTGAAAACTTTATCAAGCATGTGGGGTTCATGACCTCTACCAGCAGCGAGACACTTCTTAGTGGCCATATCAAGGTAGTCTTGAAGCAAAGGCTTGTATTCAGGGTGAGCGCAATTGTCAATGATGACTTGGGCACGTTCACGGGGAGAAAGACCACGAAGATCTGCCAAACCTTGTTCAGTAACAAAGACATCCAAGTCATGTTCGGTCTGATCGACATGGGAGACCATAGGTACGACACAGGACACACCATTGGGATCCTTCTTTGAAGGACGTGTGGAAGGAGAGTGCATGACACTGAGTTTGGCGTTACGAAGGAAATCACCAGAACCACCCAAGCCGTTGAGCATACCAGAACCACAGACGAGAGTAGAATTGGCGTGGCCGTACATGTCAAATTCGACAGGCGTGTTCATGGCGATACAACCAAGACGACGAATAATTTCAGGAGAGTTGGAGACTTGTTGGGATCTCAACAAGAGTCTATCTTTATAGATGGACCAATTGTTGTAAAATCGTTCAAAGCCTTCAGGTGAGAATCGAATGGAAGTGGCACTAGCAAATTGAAGCTTTTCGGAATCGAAAAATTCAAGAAAAGTGTCTTGTAATACTTCCGTAAATCTGATAAAGCAAAAAAAAAAAAATTGAGTAAGAAAAAAAAATCGTCCCCAAAAGAAAAAAAAACTTACACTGTGACGTTTTTGAAGGGAGACTTAGCCAAACCACCAATAACGGCGTTTGCAATGTTACCAATACCAGATTGAAGAGGCAACAAGTTCTCTGGGAGACGTCCATGTTTGACTTCATGTTCAAAGAATTCAATAAGATGGTCAGCAATGGCTTGTGATTTAGCATCAGCAGGTGAGTTTGGACCAGTCATATCAGGACGGTTGCTCTCGACGACTGCGATTACTTTTTCGGTATCAATAGGAATGGCGGTCTATTTTATCAGGTTTCATATCAGTTTAATCTATGTTTTCCCCCCCAAAAAAATAGAAATTTTTGAAAAACTTACTGTTCCGATTCTATCCTCAGTATTCATGATAAGATATGGTTTACGGTGAGGAGGAAGTGAGGACATGGTGATATCGTGAAGACCTTCAAAGGAAGGAATGCGTGTGTTGACTTCAATAATGATCTTGTCAGCCATTTGTATCAGTTCAGGTGTGGCACCTACAGAGGCACCAGGCACGATCCAGCCGTCTTCAGTGATTGCAGTTGCTTCGACAATGACAATATCTAACTTGTCGTTATCCTTCTTATCCTTGGTATAATAGCCTACAAGCAATCATTGCTTAGTTCATGCAACAGTCTATGTGCAACTGTAACTTACCATAAACAAGATCTTGAGCAAACATGGAAAGATGCTTGTCAGCAAATCGTATACGACCTTCATTGATACCCTTCTTGATGTTTTTACCGACCTGATGAGGGTAACGACGGTCGATCATGTCCAATTGGGCCCAACGGTCTTCACATTCGGGACCAGAGGAGGCACCAACAAAGAGATTGAACTTCATTTTACCTTGAAGGTTGTTCTTTTCGACATGCTCGGCTAAGGCAAGAGGAACCATTTTGGGGTATCCAACACCAGTAAAGCCAGACCAACCGAGATATCTAAGTAAGGGTCAGCTATGGATCATATAACAATAAATATGTCAAAACTTACTGTCCTCCTTTGAAGAATTGAAGGGTATCCTCAGGTTTCATGACCTTGTTTAAAAGTTGAGGTCGACGAACTCTTGACTTGAGTGCAGCACTAACAGTAGCCATAATGAAAAAAGTGAAAGGATCAAAAAGATGATACGGGAAAAGAAGGGAAAAGGACGTATTTATATATTTCGTTTTGGCACCGGAGATCAAATAGGATAAACGATTTTACAGCAAGGCAAAATGGGGGGAGAGCAAAGTGTGGGGGAAAAAGCAAGCGGGATAATCTTGATGATTGGGAGTCAGTTAATGTGGAGAATTTACAGACGATTATTGCTCCGAAGATAGCAAAAAGTGACGACAGAAAGCTATACACACATAAAAGGTTCAACCGGATAATGGTTGAGGAGTAAGACAAATATCATTTTAGAAATAAGGTTCAAAAACATTGATCTGCCTATGCTGAGTTTCAATACTATCGTTTTAGGATGACATCCGAATGGCGTTTCTATGGCAAATACCTTCTTCTTCTTGAACCAAAACCAATTGAAATGAAGGTCAAGAAGAGTTTAAATTTTTCAATTTAACAATTCAATTTGTTGACAAGTCTTTATTTTTTCTTTGCCCTTTACAGATGGACAGGTCCCGGCTAAACGATTAGAGCAATACTATTTCTGGACATTTCAATGTCTGTGTCTACAGACGTAAATTAAAAAAGGACAATGGAACAGAGACTGTCATCATAAGCAATGTTCTTGGCTCAACAGGCTTCAATTATTCAATGGCTCTTGGATAAATTAAGTAAGGATGAACAAGTCCTTTATGTTATAGCGACAAACGAGAGGGAAAACGCCTTATACATGGAATTCTTTCTAAATCCCTGGGAAAGCGGGGCAGTCTGTATCATGGAAAAAAGTATTCGATCGTTTCTAATGATTGGTTCCACTATTTTCTGCATCGTATGACGCAAGTTTTACAAAACAGCATTTTCAAAAAATAATGCAATGACAAGCAAAAGACCAAAGTACCGTTTTTGAGATCTTTGTGCTGACACAGAAGGGGACAATGGGCGAATGTCGAGCCGCATAGAATACACTCTATCGAAACAACAACCGAAGCTGTAGTCATCCATTACTTTTTACAACAGTAAGTGAATAGAAGGATAGCCACTGATGCTAAAAGATTTCGTTTGGATAGAGTGATGATGAAATGAAGAGTGAGCGCTTTGTCAATGTTATGATGCTTATGCGTATTTAATATCAGCCAATGCTTAGCAACAGAATGAAGATATATATGTTAGTTGTTCAAAGAAAAGAATTCAACAATAATATTTAAAGAGCGAGAAATAGTTTATGCGGATTATGTGCCAATAATTTCTGAATGTGATTTATCTAAGTTAAATAATGTATATATACAAATAAAGTCAGCCGCTGCTGTCTTCCTCTCTCTCTTTAGGTATCCACATTACGAACAGGCCCAGTAAACCATTTACGACCTGATACCATATAAGCCAGAATAGCTAAACCAATAACAATTACAAATGGAACGATAGCAAAGTTCATATTTTCTGGCGTAACAGGATATTTCTAACAGACAAACATCAGTTTTACCCCTCATGTTTCATGCAATAATATGGCTTACTGTAGGTAAAATAAATAATACAGAAGTAAAGACTATCCATATGCAAGCAATTATGCCTAATAAAAAGACGTTTAAATGAAGTCATACCTATAGCTTAAAGCATTTACCACACGGAATTGAAAAACGACCCATATTGTATGGACCCCTTTCAAATCTTTTTCTAGCCATTGTAATACGCAGCCAAATAGGTATAAAGTAAGAAATATTGGCAGCAATCGTATTGATGGACACGATAGTTTCAAATGCCACATCACTAAACAAGTATGGTATTCCCAACAGTGCAGCAAATGTGATATTGAACCAAACCGCATTCACAGGGACCTTGTAAGACGTCAACTTTGTTAGCCATTTAGAAAAAGGCATGGCTCCATCTCTTGCAAATGCGTATGTCTGACGAGAAGATCCTACAACGACTGCTGCTCCACTACAAATCAAATAAAATGAGTTATATACATATATTCTATATTTAAAGGAAACAACTTACGCAAAGTACATTGCTACAATGATAATCACAAGAAACCACATGGTCCAGCCAATGCCTGTTCCGTCCAGGAACACTTGAGTAATGGCCATGGATGCCTGAGGATTCAGTATTTGCCGATCAAAATCTTGGATCATGAAGGCACAGGCAATCATAAGTACAGTACCTGCAATCGCTGAAGTAGCGATCGCCATAACAATGCCCATAGGAGATCCGCGCTGTGCTGACTTTGTCTCTTCGCTTACATGTGCAGCTGTATCATACCCATTTAGGGTAAATTGAGCCTGCAGGAGGCCGATTAGCCAAGCAAAACCACTTGAATTAAATCCCGTGCCATCATAAACCTGCCCAAGTGCAAAGGAAGCTGAGGGTTTATTAGGAGTGAGAAGAAGTCCAACAATAATGATGAATAGGATGCCCATCAAGTGCCACCACACAGAAAGGTTGTTAATCATTCCTGTATAACGAATTGGAAGACTGTTCATAAGGCCATGGATGATTAAGATGGCAATAAAAACGGCATAATCAATAGCTGGAGTGGACTGGAAATCTGAATGAGTTACTGAAATGGCTGATACTAAGAACTGCGCCATACCAAGATCAGCCGCACAGATGGCTACAGAAAGACTCAACCTAAGATCGAAAGGCGTTATTATCGTGTAATGTCTATCTTTTAGCATGTTTACCAATTAAAATAACCTTTTAAGTAGGGAGAATTTAGTATTAAGTAAAATGTTTAACAAGTTTCTCTTACCAACAATCCAGCACATAAATGGCACCCACTCTGAATCAGATAATTGTGCTGTCCAAAAATATAAGCCGCCTGTTGTAGGGAATGCACTGCAAACTTGAGATGAAGAGTTAGTACGAGGTAATCAGTTCTTTATCTATGTCTTTACTTTCTGCTAAGCTACTGCCGATGGTTAATGTTAATAAAGCGACTAGAAGATAACCCCATATAGAGGCTGATGTACCACCATTTACCAATGTCTCGGCCCACATCTTTACATGATTAGTGTCATGTCAAAAATAATGCTATTATTTCCTTACAGGAAGTAGTCCACTGAGCACAGAACAACATCCAAATGAAATAGCGAAATTTGAGAATACAGATAATTGGCGGTTCAGGTCTTGTTTGTAACCTAGTCTAGCCAGCAATATTTCATCATCAATGTATCTGCTATTATTTTTCATATCTGCTTTTTCACTTTTAAGCACTGCAGGATCTGGTGTTTGTATGAATATGTCCCAAACCATTTCTAAAGCGGTTCTCTCTGTGAGTGTTTGTGTTTGTAAAGAATTAAAAGAAGTGATAAATGAAAAAGGGGGTGTGGTTATTTATTCGAAACACATAAGAAAAGAATATCCAAGATCGAACAAAATGATTATATATAAATATAAATATTTACTGATAACAAATAGAAATCCTCCTTAACAATTATAGTGTTGCGTTCTCCTAAACATCGTTTCTCCTTAAAGTAGATTTCCAAATAAAGAAGAAAATTAAAGGGGGTCAGGGGATGAGTGGTTACTGCTCTGCTACATAATTCATTAACCTTTTTTTTTTTTACCATTATTCCGAAAGCATCTGATACAGACAATAAGAAACTTGCGTGTGTGCATTGATCAAGCATCATGCAATGACTTCAACCCTGCATTGTTATAATCAGATGAGAGTTATCTCAAAAGTTTTACTGGAAAGAAGTTCAGCATCAGTAAAACTGTTTGTTTATTTGTTGTACAGAAATAGTTTTGTTACAATAACACTTGACCAAACGCGTTTAATCCCACGTAACTTTATAAGCTTCCATTTGAACGTAGTTAAATAGTATATTCTGCAATATTTCTCTAATGCGCCAATAATTATCAAAGAAATCTTGCACGGTTAATAGAACTCACGGTTATTCACCTCGATATACGCTCCTTTTTTGCAAAACAGGCTACATCCTTTTCTGCTACAACCATGGCATTCCTTTTATTGATTTTGAAACCTAATCTATTCAATTATAAACCAATTGTGCTCTAGATTCATTCTGAAAAGACGACTGACAGTTTCGCGCCTAATTTTACACGACAGATAAAGGTAGAAAGGCTTTTAATTCCAACTGCAGTATCATCCAATGATAGATAATGTGAACACAGTTATTTCTATACAGCAGCATAAAGCCTAACTCCCTTTTAGTTATCTTAAATTATCACCTCTTATCATCATCAACTCGACCGAAACGGTTGAAAAAGTAAAAAGGTGAGTAAATATTTTTTTTCCCTCTTGGCATCAAATTTATATATGTTAATTTGGTTTCAAGGGTATCAGCCTGTAACTATCCAGTCTGTTCATAGATAACTAATACGCTCAACTTTCCCATATTCATCATTCAGCCAAAGTTTCACAATCAAACGGTTGTCGGAAAAATAAAAGACACTGGATGGTAGTAGATGTGGTACATGTTCTCTGAGACTTCACTTTTTTATTCAAATAGTATGACATTCGGCATTGGCTGCGTTTTTCGTTGATAAATGCGGCCTATAACATGTTTTGACTTATCGTTGAGAGTGTGTACGTAATTCTTTTCGTATAAATTCACACTATTCATATAGGCTACAGTTGTTTATTTCAACCTTTTTAAACGGGACGCACAAAATAATAACTTCCTTTTTGGGCAGATGACACGCAGAGAAATAGCAAAGACCAGAACTGAATACACTGTTACACATTTGCGTGTCCCTTGTAATGCTCCAAAAATTTGTAAAGACTTGCCTACTAGTTTTGTTGTATACTTTGCGTGTACAGAACAATACTTAAACACGATTTTTGGAAAGTGTAATATTGAAGCTGATTCTCACAATTTATTCTTTATGTCTCCTCTCATATAAGATCCCATGTTATAGAGATGTACAATTGCTGGTATTGATATCAGGTTTGCTGGACAGCGGATATGGATTAGTACTGAGAGGATACTGTTGACTGTTGGAAACAATGGACCTGTCATAATTGAACAGCGATCTGTCTCTGCTTGTTGTGTAAGATTACTTAGTGAACAAAAAAGACTGGCCCTCGTGAGTTACCCCGTGACCAAGTAAAAACACTTGATTGTCTTTGTCCTTCTTTTTCATCCTTTTTCCAAAAATAAAATCTTTAATAATAATCATCTTAGCTGATTTAGAACAACTATTTCATAGTTAAGTGACCTCAATAACAAGTTTTCAATAAAACTACAAAAGGCACCTAAATTTTCATACCAGACGAGTATTCACACACGATAACTTGATTCAGAAACACTATAGATAAAATGATTAATCCAATATCTGATAACATGGCTTATATTAGCCAGATAGCAGCAGACACAGATGATCTTAATAATGGACGATGGCATACTTTATTAAGGAAAATGTCAGTCATAGTAACTCCTGAACAATCAACTACAGGCACAGCAGAGACCCTAGAAAAGTCGACTGTAGAAGAAGTTAACTTGCCTACTGTTGAAGAGTGTCTAGATCAAGAAGATTATGAAACTGCTATCAGCTACTTTGAAACAGACAGTAACACGTTAACAGATCATAGATCATCATCTAGTATTTATCCTTCTGATAACAGTAAGAAGAATCCATACCATTATCATTAATATACATATCAAACATATAGCGAATAAAGTAAAGCAGCGATGGATGAGATCATTTGAGAAAATTCGAATGATCAATCATTTCAAGTCAGCGCCATCCTCAGGCACCGGCATCATATCAAAACTACCATTAGCACCTTACTACCCAGCTGCGTTCATACCCCTCTATCTTACTCTTCTTTCCAGAGACGAGCATGGGAGAAAACCAGTGAGTTGTTTTTTTTTTAAAAAAAAACAAGCGTTAATGAAGCGTATCTCATGCATTTTACCCGTAGCCACCTATCCTATTTGACGCGCTATCAGTAAGAGATATAAGCTGTGAATGCTTCTAAATGTATAATATATTTGTACATTAGTGTGCTATCACAGACTCCATTATAGACCAAAACACATCACATAGACTATGGATTTTTCGAATAGAGTTACAGTATGGAGAAGTCAAGTGGGTTATTCACAGAACTATTATAGAATTCTATAATCTCCACTTAACTCTCAAGTTCAAACACATTTCAGGCCTTATCTCTGAACCCCCTCCTTCTTTTCCCAGTCAGCTTGCTCACCTGACAAACGCTGCCTTAACCTCGATGCGTATTGTAAGGGAAGAAGAAGACGATCGTTGGCAAGATGTTGCTCTTAAACGCCGTGATGATTTAGAATCTTATTTAAAGGAGCTAATCGAGAAAGCTGCTGTCACTGTCAACTATGAACTGTGCGAATTTTTAGAGCTCAGTGCCATTTCGATCACTAAAGATATGGGCTGGAAAGGGAAAGAAGGATACTTAGAGCACAGTACAGCTCCAATGTCCTTTCGACTTGGGTTACCTTGGCAGCAGAAATGGCAGAAGGAGTGGTTGATTCTAAGAGATAGCTATCTTGCTTTTTGTAACGATATTGGATCTACTTCAGTTACAGATGTCCTGCTGTTTGACAGACACTTGAAGGTTAGACTAAAAGGGCAGGGAAGTACGACTTTTGGTTCTGTTCACTTTATTATATCAAATTCTACACGAAAGATCGAAATAAAGAGTCCTCCGTCAAGATATACAGACGAATGGCTGGAAAACCTTGAAAGGGCACAGAAAGAAAGTCCATGGACTATGAATCAACGTTTCGGGTCTTTTGCTCCTCTAAGAGAACATATCAAGGCAAAATGGTTTGTGGATGGACGTGGTAAGAGGTCTTTATGTGTATACTCCAATAGCCTTTTTTATTTTGAAACATATATTTAGACTATTACGAAGCAGTTATCCATGCTATCATTTCAGCCAAGTCAGAGATATATATTGAGGATTGGTGGCTGGTAAGTTTTATTTATGCTTATCAGATATTCAATCTCACATACATCTATATACAGAGCCCACAGCTAGTATTAATCAAACGTGAAGGAAAAGAAAGTTTAAAACTTACTGAATTGTACTATAGTACTTACGAAGACCTCCTAAGGGTAATGAAGAATACCGTCTGGATCGACTTTTGAAGAGAAAGGCTTGTGAAGGCATCATGATATATATTGTTCTTTATAAGAATGTATCTGTTGCCTTGCCATTGGACTCCCAGTATACAAAAGATTGGATGCAGACTGTACATCCCAATATTATAGTTCAAAGACATGCTAACCTCACCTCTTCTCCATTTTGGGCACACCATGAGGTTTGTTTAACTTGGCACGATTTACAAACAACTAACTTGTTTTGCGTATGCTGTAGAAAATACTTGTCATTGATAATCGCTTAGCCTTTGTAGGAGGATTGGATCTCTGCTTTGGGTAAGATGTTAGAAGCAGTTTATACATATACAAGCTAAGAGTTTTTATAGACGATATGATACACAGGCTCATGAACTCACAGATTACGATTCAACTGATGTATCCTGGGAGGTGTTTCCTGGGCAAGACTATTCCAATCCAAGGATTAAAGATTTTCAAAAAGGTTTGTAACTCGAAAGCAAAAGGAAAAGAAAAGTAATATTCTTTACTTTCGCTCTGTTGATAGTTAGTCAGTATGGCACCGAGCTGATCGACAAGACAACAACATCTAGGATGCCCTGGCATGATATCCATACAGCTATGGTAAGTAAAAGTAAAGAGGTTAAAACTGTCTAAAGAACTAAAGAGGGGAAATGACAGGTTGGACCACCTGCAAGAGATGTTGCTAGGCACTTTATACAGAGATGGAATTTTATAAAAGCTAATCGCGCAAAGGATAGAGACGATATTCCCTTCTTATTACCAAAAGGGGAATATGTTACTACTAGAGATGAAACCAAGTTTAAGGGAACATGCAAGGTTCAGGTGTTAAGAAGCAGCGCAGAATGGAGTCAAGGGATCATACGAGAGGTAAGTGAAGATGAGTTGGTTTGAATAGATAAACTATAGCCAAAGAGTAGTATTCGATATACAATGCCTACATGGAATGCATATTTAAAGCAAAGCATTTTATATACATTGAAAACCAATTCTTTAGTAAGTATTCATTTATAATCTGCAAGCAAGATATCTTGACATATTATTTTCAGTCACTACAACAAGCCCTGATGATAAGCTGATAAAGAACAAAATAGGCCAAGCTATTGTAGAAAGGATTAAAAGAGCTCATAAAGAAAAGCAGAAATTTCGAGTCATTGTTATAATACCAAGTGCTCCTGGTTTTGAAGGCGACTTTGTTCAGGTTGACAGAAGATCAATGCCACTTCGATCAGTTGCTCAATATCAATACAGATCGATCTGTCGTGGAAAATATTCTATATTTGAGCAACTTAAAAAGGAAAATATACCCATTCATGAATACATTGGCTTTTACAGTCTGAGAAACTGGGGTAAGATTAAACGTCCGTCTAGTTCACCAAGTGCATTTTTAGACGGGAAAAGAAAACGACGCACAAGATCAAGATCGAACACAGTAACTGATGAGCCCAACGTGGACATTCAACAAAACCTTTTCTATGCAGATGATGGAAGAATGGATTATGTTACTGAGCAAGTTTATATTCATTCGAAGCTTATGATTGTTGATGACAGAATTGTCATTTGTGGATCAGGTATACTTAACAATCCTTTTTGTAAAGGGCTTTACTAAGGTTCTTTTATACCAATAGCAAACTTAAATGATAGGTTGTTATTAAGAAAAAGTAATTATATTTATTATTAACATGATTAATATGTAGATCTCAACTAGGAAACAGAGACTCTGAAATTGCAGTGATAATTGAAGATACAGACACAATGGATTCAAAAATGAATGGAGAACCTGTATGTATCCTGTTTTTTTTTTTTTTTTTTTAAAAAAAAAAAGAAAAAAGTTTAAATCTAATACATTTATGTTCCAGTATAAGGCCTCAAGTTATGCCCTGACGTTAAGAATGCAATTATTCAAAGAACATCTCGGTCTACTCGATGCTTCTGCATCAGATACCTTTGATTATCGGCGTAAAGAAAATCTTATCGTGATGGATCCTTTGAATGACGAGTTTTATTTCAACGTCTGGAACAAGATTGCAGAAAAGAATACATTGATTTACAGAGAACTTTTTAGATGTGTTCCGGACGATACTGGTAAGTTTTATCCTATTTTAATAAACATATGGTATTGAGTCTTTTTTCGTGCAAGTTCATTCTGCCGAGCAACATCGTCAATTTATGCCTGACCCAACTCGTGTCCTACAGGGACATATTGCCGAACCATGGAAATATTCAGCTAAAGAAGTGCAAGCGAAATTAAACGAAATACGAGGCCATCTTGTACAATTCTCAACAGAATACTTGAAAAACACCAACATGACAGCTTCAATGATGCAGGAAGCCATTCCTCCTGCTGTATTTACTTAATAAACACCATTACTTTTGTCTGTCATCTTCAACTTTTCCTTGTAATCACTCTAATATATCACTCTAATAACGCCATATATGTGCTGGAATTAGACCATAAAATACACCGGAAAATATGCCTTGAGGACGTGATTTTGAGCAGCACTTTCAGCGTATCAGCCAGACACATGCTGTATACGTGTGTACGAATTGCGTACTGATATTTTATCATGGGACTTATGGGCGTCATTAGGGTTCGTGTTTCTTCTTTTCTCTCTTTACCGCTACTCCTTCAATCACTGTTCCTGGTATTTGTATGATGGCTCATGACCATCGTGTGCCATTTTAGTATCCTTATCCACCACTTTTATAAAGGAAATACTTTGAGGATCACAGTAAAATGTACAATGTGTAAATAATGGAGTTTTTTTCATTCGAATTCATTCCAATATTAATGAAAACATGATTAATTAATAAAAAAATGTTGTCGATCGTTAATTTAACATGACAAGGCTATCTGCAATTGCTTTTCTTTTTTTCTTTACTTCAGCATGAAGTGAAAGACAGACAATGGTCCTCCGCCTTCAAAGGCAAAGCGAAATAAGGGGAAAGGTACCTAAGCTACAAGGTTGATATGGCATTTATTAAGAGTCCATTACTTAGAAAAGGTAAAAATAACATTTATTAGTTCCATCTATTTTATAACTGAATGTTGTAATAGACAAGAGCATATGTACTACTTTGAAAGCTGCTAAATAAGACACATCTGTTCCTGGCCTTCCAAATGTTGTTACCAGTGACAAGTCATCTATGCCTACAGTCAGTAAAGATACGAGTGTTCAAGCTGTATTACCTGCTCCTATTCCTTCCACTAGCTGTACTTCTGCTCCCATTAAGAGCTCCAAGAAATATCAAGACAAGGTTGATAAGACTGAAGCGCTTAAACAGGAAAAAGAAAAGAATAAGGCGTCAAATAATGAGCAAAAATAAGTTCGATGTCCTTCTTGTGATGGAACTGATCACCCTCGCCCTTCCAGCAAGTTGTGTCTTATGAATAAGTGAAAAATGAAACTTCCAAAGTCCAAGGATACCGTCGAGAAAATTTTTGTAATCAAGGCATCTTTGGCTAATACCTGTAGATATTCCAAGTTTGTTTCCTTGATTGAAGAAACAGTTGACCACACCACTCAACTAGTATATAGTGGTTTCATTCTTGCTAATCACTATTTATTGAAACTTCTCGAAAATTGTGAAGAATTACCTATGGTTGCTCAAAATCTGCTTTATAACATATTTTCCATCTTTGCTTGCCAAGGAAAGCATGCATCCGATACATCAAGAAGAGCTTCAAGGCCTTTTGTGAATTTACTTCTCTTACTCAATCTGACTTGGGCGAACACGCAAGTAAAGGATATATGACCATTGTTCCTCTATGGCCAGACAATATGAAACACTGGCCCGCAACTATGTATGCTCTACTTACAAAGACAGAACTACCAGACATGCTCTTAATGTCTTATCTGAAAAGATCTCTTCTTACTTCTGTGGTGGTAGCTTAACAGTCAAATAGTGCAAGTCTTTAGCAAAGCATATCCTTCAACAAAAGATAAATCCCAAGTCTGCCTGGTCACCCATTATTGATCGAATTGAACGATATGAAGCCATTGTCAATAGCTTTCTTACTTCCTGATCAATATATGATGCTCCCAATGATACTGACGTACCAAGTGAAGCTAATATGTATGTCAAACCTCAATGCCACATGAAATGGCTACACTTTATACAGAAGGAAATGAAACAAAAGAAGCTCGTTCAAGAAATGAAACCTCAAGACAAGACATCAAGTAGTTATGTCCATCGAAAGTTACAAGTATTTCCTTTTGTCAAGAAATTGAATACAAGCAAGTACAGATCATTAAAAGAAAACACATTGACTGCTATCAATTCCAAAAAGGCTTTGGAGATAACAAGCAAGCTTAGAAACATTGATAAAAAGGACATTGATGCTGTTCAAAATTTTATAAAAACAGTACAAGCAAGAATTCAAGCCAAGACTTTCATGCCTCTCAAGTATACTGGCCTTCGAGGATCAAAGTATTTTTCTTTACTTCCTTTGTACAAGATTGCTTCCAAGAGTATACAAATTGATGCTCAAGCTTTTTGGAGACTTGCCAAGCAATGTGACAACAAGATCAAACCAGGACAAAAGGATGATAATGACTTAACTTTATGGTACTTTAATGTCTTTGAATTTTCAAAAATAGGCTACAAGACACTTAATAGTTTAACTTCACGCCCAAAGAAGTTTGCGTACATATGCTTACATATCTTTTTTTTTTTGGTCTAAACAAATGCTGTCATTGTAGAAATGCGATCATCACTGATGGTTATGCTGTATCCTTTAAGTTTAAGAAAGATGTTGCTATCCAAGATGAGCCTAGAAGAGAACCAAAGACACCCAAGGATTTTGCTGATATAGCTGACGATGCAGAAATTTGGACTGTTGATCCTGGTATATCAACTATCTTTACAGTAGACTCTACAGAACATGAACGTATCCGGACTACAAGCTTAGAAGAATATTATCATTTATGTGATTGCAATCTTGCTACAAGAAGACGAAAAGAACACCAAAAGTGTCATTTAGACGAATTTAAGTATATTAGTGAATTACTTACTTTAAAAACTGCAAACTTGACTTCATTTTTACTAGCTGCCTCTACACGTTTACAAAACTATCAAAGAATCCATAACTACTGCTGCCAAGGTAAATGGTATGTCGCTCACTTACACGGTGTACATTTTAGTAACACTGCGTATGGTATAGGCCTCAAAGGCTAAAGTTCAAAACATATATCAACAAGCAAAAAGAAACTCAAGCAATTGTTAAAAGACTCTTTGACAATAGCAAAAAGTATGACAAATCAAGCACAGTTGGCGCTAAAAACCAAAACAAAAGCAAACATGTACCTTTACCTCCTGCTGACCTCCCTTCCTTCTCTCAACGGAAGCGGATCATTGCGTTTGGAAATGGTTCTTTTGGTTCAAATATGAAAGGAAAACGAGCTGCACCTATTAGACGTATTACTGAAGAAATCAAACGAAAATTCAAACAATCTAATGAGGGGACCGAATTTGTTTCGGTTGACGAGTATTTAACGAGTCAGATCTGTAACAAGTGCAAATCCAAACAATTAAATAATATCTCTATTACTGGATCAAAACGAAGATTACACTCTGTCCCCAAGTGTGAATCTTATGGTACGGTTTGGAATCGCGATGTGAACAGTGTATTAAATATATATGGTATCTTTGTTTACAAATCAGAACATGACAATGAAATTCCTCTCTCCTCCAAAAGACTAGCGGTGCTCTTGGATTTAATGCGCTATCTATGACGGTAGTGCATTCCTTAACGCCTCGGTGAGTATAAAGCGAATAATGAATTATTTTTTATTCATTAGCCTTCTAGTTATGAATGAAGCAATGATAATTGCTGATAGTAGAAATAAATTGTTTATATGACAACAAAAGATATAATCTTCTTTGATGGATAAAACTATATTGTTGTAACTAGTTCTTTATTAGGACATCTTTTATTACACTTTCCTCTATTGTAGTTGACTGATTCAATTGAACATATCTAGATAGCAAGTAGTTAAATGATCTGTTACTTTTTATACTTTTGATTGGAGCCCTTAGATAAACGATGCTCTTAAATAAAACCACATGCAAATCTATTCTGGGCACTTGATCCATACAGCATCTAATGAAAATATCGATTTGCTTTTTGTATAAATTTATAACTTAAAACAAGTGCTTGATATCTGTAATAGGCTAAGATTGTCTTTTACTTTGGTTAGCTTTTGACTTACAAGTAACGGGTCTAGATACAAACCTTTTACCCTGCCTACAATTTATCTGAAATTTAATTTTGTGTAGTTCGGGGCATCAAAAAGGATGAATAAGAAAGTTTCTTTATTCTTTTTCTTATTAGAGGTAACGAGCCACTGAAGCTTACATTATTTAAACCAGATCATAACCTCACATGCTGTAAAGAATGTTGAAATCATTTGAATCTCTTTTTGACATTTATACAGTCTATGTACAACATCCTGTCATTTCCAAATGGCTGGCTTTTGTTCTTTTTCTGTCCCTTTTTCTAAACACCTACTTGTTAAACATAACAAAGCAACAACAGCAGCAGCAACTAAAACAAGAGCAACAACAACAAAAAGTCGTTGCAGATCCCGTCTCCACAGATACAATCCAAAAACCTGTTACCAAAAAGCCTGTCAAGCCAAAACGAAAACATCATCATCATTCTGACATTGTTCGTCCTGTCGAAGAAATTCTCGGTTTACTTGCTACTCCTGATGCTCTCTCTGATGAAGAAATAATCTCTATTGTTCAAGCTGGAAAGCTTGCACCTTATGCATTAGAAAAGGTCCTGGGTGATTTTGAAAGAGCTGTCATTATTCGTCGAGCCTTAATCTCGCGTGCATCCCTGACAAAGACTCTTGAGCACAGTTTATTGCCTGTAGCAAACTACCATTATGATAAAGTGATGGGCGCCTGCTGTGAAAATGTCATTGGATATATGCCCATTCCAGTAGGCGTGGCAGGTAGGACGAAGGGTATTTTAAAACTCATTTGCTAACGGCGAGTGTTATGTAGGTCCAATGAACATTGATGGTGAACTGATTCATATCCCTATGGCAACAACAGAAGGTTGCTTAGTAGCATCAGCAGCTCGTGGGTGTAAAGCAATCAATGCGGGAGGTGGTGCAATTACTATAGTGACGGCAGACGGAATGACCCGTGCCCCTTGTGTTGAATTTCCTTCGATCACACGTGCTGCTGAATGCAAGCAATGGATAGAACATGAAGGAAAGGATATCGTAGCAGAAGCATTCAACTCAACTTCACGTTTTGCTCGTGTCAAAAAATTAAAGGTTGCTATAGCTGGTAGATTGGTGTACATTCGATTCTCTACTACAACCGGAGATGCTATGGGCATGAATATGATTTCTAAGGGCTGTGAAAAGGCACTTTCAAAGATTGAAGAATACTTTCCTGACATGCAAATTGTTTCTCTCTCTGGTAACTTTTGTACTGACAAAAAGCCTGCTGCCGTGAATTGGATTGAAGGACGTGGAAAGTCTGTTGTTGCAGAAGCCGTGATACCCGGGCCTGCTGTTGAAAAAATCTTAAAGACCACTGTGAGCGCTCTTGTTGAATTGAATATATCAAAGAACCTTGTAGGTTCAGCAATGGCTGGCTCTGTTGGTGGTTTTAACGCACATGCAGCTAATATCCTTACAGCTATTTACCTTGCAACTGGTCAAGATCCTGCCCAGAATGTAGAAAGCTCCAACTGTATGACATTAATGAAGGCCATAAATGACGAAAAGGATCTTTATATATCCTGTACGATGCCTTGTATCGAAGTAGGCACCATTGGCGGTGGTACTATTTTACCTCCTCAGCAAGCAATGCTAGATATGCTTGGTGTTCGTGGCCCTCACCCAACTGAACCCGGTGCAAACGCCCGTCGCTTAGCCGGCATCATCTGTGCTGCAGTTATGGCAGGCGAACTTTCTCTTTGTGCTGCTTTAGCTGCTGGTCATCTTGTGAAGGCACACATGGCACATAATCGCAATACTCAACCTATTTCTGCTACACCACCAGCTACACCAGCTGAACCTGTTCCTGGAAGTTGTATTAGATCATAGATAGAAAAGTAATACATCGATAGTTAATAATAATAGTTTAAATCTTTATAAACACATCCCTATAGAAGGATACTGATTACCATCACTTAACCTTTTGTTATAATTCTTTTATCTCTTTTAGTTTTACTACTCCCAAATGGGTCGTTTTTGAACTCAATCCCATATTGAAAGAAACAGTGAAAACAATTTGCAAAAACGTCTTGAATGAGTATAAGAAATGGGAGGGTACTGACATGGTCTTTACGAAGAACTGTGTATATATAGATGAATTATGATCCTACCTAAATTTAAGACACTATATTGCAGATGTTGACTCAGTACCCTCAGCCTGCAACCCTGAACACCTCCAACTGGCCATTCACTCATTGGCTTCCTCTGGCTCTCCAACTGGCGCAACAGCCCCTTCTACTCCTCCTCCAAGAAGGTTTGGTAAACGAAAGCGATCATCATCTATTCAAGAATTCCCGTTGGACAATGTTAGCGTGGAATATATCACAAAGCGTTTGAAGCACTCCACCTTGATGGCACCAAAGGAGAAGTGACAAAGATCCCACATGGGTAAGACGATTACAATTTATCCGCATTCAGATCCACTTCTTTGTCCAATCACGGCATACACGGTCTACGTTTCTTACCTCGCTTCGGGTAAGTGCTACATAGCTCACCAAACTTTCCTTCGGTCACCATTCATTGCCTCTTTTTCTCGTTAACAGACCGTTTGTAACCGATCGGGTCAGATCGCATTTTTAAGCACACTCGACAGATGACGGCACATGTAGGCAAACCGAATGACGCTCTTGTTCCCAAGTCAAGGGCCTTAGGCGTTACACTGGTCGCTCAAGCTGGCATCTGAGTGTAAGATGTCGTGGCTCAAGACAACTGGCCCTTAAAGGTTATTTTTTTAGTTTCTATCAGATTTGTTCAATGATAAGTAATAATCTCACGATGGCTGCTCTGGATCAAAAAGATCATAAAGCTCCAAGTGTAATTTGATGTAATACATGAATTTATGAAGTACCGTCATAGTTATATTTGAATTGATCTAGGTTATTTCCGCCCTTCTCTCTCTCAGTTTCCTTGTTTATCCCTTTACTTGTTCCATCCTCACTCGAAGATAGATAAAAAAGTTTTTTTATTACTGTTATTATAGGACTTGTATTTCTGGAGACATTTTGTCTTCTTTTGGAAATGATCTTTATTTATTTTTAAAATTCATTATTACGTGTAACAAAGGTGGTAATTACCAAGTAGCTTGGTTATCGTGACTATTGCGGTGATTATACAACCAATCCAAGTCTTCGTTGGTATCAGTGTGGGTAAGAGAAGGGGTTGGTGTAGCTGTTGCGGTGGCTGTAGCATCATCGCCAGTATCACCTTCAAGTGCTTGAAGTTTAGCTAATGCTAAATCAAAAAAGTTGTTCAACTGATCAGGTGTTGTCAAGGCAGAGGAAATGCTTGTTAATTGGTTGATTTGGGTAGCAATATCAGGATTTTCTGCGGCTAATTGACCAGTGAAAGCCTTCCATTCTGTTTGTACTTGATCCACAGGTGTTTGGTTGGCCAATTCAGATTTAAGGGTTTGAATTTCAGAAATGATCTTTTGACTGACATTAGTGCCGGTAGTAGTAGTAGTAGAAGAGGTGTCATCGCTGGAAGCATCATCTGAAGGCTCTTCACTGTTGTTAGCAAGATCGTCCAACTCATCTACAGCTGGGTTACTGCTGCTGCTGCTGTCGTCGTCACTAGAGGAAGCATCAGTGGAATCTGAAGGAAGTGCATCTAAATCAGCCAAGACGCTGTTGATGCTGCTGTTGCTGTGTCCATTAGACTTCTTTTTAGCAGCAGAAGTACTGTTATTTCCAGAATGTCCAACCATGTTGTTATCTCTAGTATAATCACCATCAACGACACGAAGACAACCATAGCCAGATCTTCCAGTATTACAATCAGCCTAATAAAGCAATAAGTCAATTTAAGTAACATAAACTCAGAATCTATTTATAAATTGAGCTATTTACCTTGTCTTGGCAGCATCTAATGCAGAATCTCTCGATATCGGGTTCAATTAAGTTTACAAAGTAGTTGTACCCCTTGCATTGCGCTCCGACAGGTTTACCATGAGCATGATTATCATATTGTCCTCCGCCATCATTAGCTCCAAGACTGTATTTGGTGCGATCAAAAAAGCCTGTGATCTGAACATATTTACTGGTTCTTAAATAATGTGCCGTGGTAATAAAGCCTATGTTTGTGTATAAATACTACAGAATGTCATTATTCAATAAAGTGCTTACCTTGAGGAAATAGGTTGGCCTTTGGTACAGCATTCTGGTTAAAACAGAAGGGAATACCATTGTTTTCATTAGGGGCTACTTCAAGTCCAGGTTTGGGAGGGAGAAAAATACAGAAATCATCCTGGCTGTTGATAGTCGTCAAAGGATAATGATTGCTGTTTGGTGCTGCAGCATTTACAAATGAAGAAGCTACGATGAAGACACTGGCTATAATGCTGCAACTAGAAAAGTGCATTTTGTTGGTTAATGAAAAGAAAGAGAAAAAAAGAGAAAGAGAGGGAAGCAAAAGTTATTTTTATTCTATTTAGTTACACAAGGAACCTCTCAATTGGCTTCACTGTGCGGACTCTTTTTTACTTTATTTTTCTTTTTGCAACATATTCTCGATGACAAAAATTGTAGATAAAGCAATACTAGGCATAGGTCCTATCTTTATAGTAATAGCAGTAGGACTGCTTGATATGTGTGTACTTGCTTACTATTTGGTTGTATTTCCATACAGTCATCCATGGACAGATACCTCTTTAATCTACAAAATATACAACTGTTTTGTCTTGATGTTCACTCTTTATATTGTATACTCAATACACTTTCATTATTATATGGCTATCACTACACCACCGGGAGATATGAAAGAATATAAAAAATATAAAGAAGAAACAGAGGAAGAGGTACTTTCTTTAAGAATATGAAACTGAATATCCACCTGACAACCTACTACTAGAGTAATGCCTCAATGAGAACAATGTTGTTGGAAATGGAAGAACATGCCCAATTCCCAAAGACATGTAAAAAATGTAAGACTTTTTTTCTTCAGCCCAATTTTTCTATGTTTTCTATTCTTATCATTTTGTACATAGGCCACTTACCAAAACCAGAAAGGGCTCACCACTGCAGTGTATGCAACACCTGTATATTAAAATTTGACCATCACTGTAAGGTTCATCCCCTTTGATCTTCCTGCATAGACTCATTCTTTTTTACTCTAGGCCCATGGATTCATAATTGTGTTGGGCACTTTAATCATCGATATTTTGTATTGTTTATGACATATCTCGTATTCGCAGCTGTATATTTTGTCATATGCGGATGGAGACCGTTTATGCTCTGCATGGATTTTACAGATCTTGATGTTTGTGAAAACAAAAAAGAGGGATTAACAAAGGATATCATACTTATTTCATGCATAGTGGCCCTACTATTTTCCTAGAGCATTGCTTGCATTTTCGTTTATATTGGCTGTTTGTATGGGACTTGCTATAGGCGCTTTATGCGGATGGCATTACTATTTGGTAAAAAGTTTGGCATATATCTGTGATCTATGATTTACTAAAATAATTACAGATTATGACAGCTCAGACGACAGTCGAATTCTATAATAATCACTATGACAGAGCAGTTTGTAAATCACAGGGAGAAATATTTGTAAACATGTATGATTTCGGTATTTTAGAGAATTTGAAACGTTTCTTCAATGTTTGCGATCAATAGTAAGTCCAATTGAACACAAGCATATCATACAATTAAACATTCATTACAGCCCTTGGTACAATATATTTTTGCCGATCCCTGTTCCCCCAAGAGGCACAGGAAGAGTATTTGAAAAATGTCAAGAGTTCTATACATTACCTGAATCAAGTCAAAGAGCTCATATTATATCGCAACAAGAGTGTCAAGACATTGAAGACCTTAAGGATATTTAATAAATATATAGAATGAATTATTCCCAATTCACGCGAAAATATAGCAATATACTATCTTTCCGTCATTTTTCCGCCTTTTTTCTATCCTCTCTTTTTCCTACTATGGAACTTCTTTCAGGACTCTAGCATTTCTTTTTTAAATGAAAAAGCGTGTGTTTCTATGACAACGTACTAACCAGCTATACCTACATCCAATTCTGAGATATTTTCCTCTCTACATTGATGGATATCAGTGAATTTCATTCTACGAGCATTTTGTGGAGTGAACGTGTTACCTTAGCTGAAACATTTTTTAATTGCTAAATTGTAATTATATTTATTGATTTGTGTTACTCAATGCATCCCCTTCAACATATATAAAGCCATGAGCTTTGGCGTTTCTTTGTTCATCATCTTTACATCTTTATACCAAAATTCTCAAGGTTATCACTCTCTTATTTCTTGTAGCTGTTGCCCTCGTTACTGCTGCCACCACTGACAGAGGTCATTACACTGTTAGTGGCTTGGGTAAGAGAAAGCAACAAATTTTGAAAGCCGGCGGTGGAATCTGGGATATTGCTATTGCAATGCTCGAGAGCGATCACATGATTACTGACTATCCTTATGGTGACAACAAGACCGAAGATTCCGCCAACTTTGGTATCTTTAAGCAAAACTGGTTCATGCTTCGTACCTCTACTTCTCAGTTCAAGGGCAAGACAACTAGCCAATGGAAGGAAGGTACCATCCTCAACAAGAAATTGGCACAAGATATCAAAGCTAGACAAGAATCACAAAATTTCTACGGCCCTGATAAGTGGTTTGGTGGCCACAGAAACGGTGAAAGTGGCTTGAACAATCCCTATACCCAAGATATTACCAACTACAAGAATGCTGTCAACTGGATCCATGATCAACTTGCCAGTGATCCCAAGCACTTGAAGGATGATACCAGATTCTATGTTTCCGTTGTTGCTATCTAATTGATTTGTATTTATTTAATAAAAGACTAAAGTATTAAAGCATATGATCTTTTACACTTGACATAGCTCCAGCAACCATGTTTACGGCAATAGGCTCTTGATGCTGTCTATTGAACCAAGTGTCAAATGTGGTAAGCCCTCGCAGTTTTGCTAGGCAATATGGCTCTCGAGCAAAGTCGACCATTTCGGATCGGTGCCGAAAACTGTAACTCTTATTTTCAGTTTATGACGCCTTGCAATGCACAAATGCAGTGCACAAAGGAGATAATCTACTCATTATCGCGTCTTTACGAACAGCCCCTGAGGAATATCAGTTTGTATCCAGTAAAGTTATTTCAAATATCTATTTGGTCAATAAGAAAGGAGGAAAACTACAGCAATGAGTCAATAGTCTAAACCCGACTGTATGCAGCCTTCCATAGCCTATCATTTCCGGTTTATCTTGCTAAAGTATTAAAACTGTTAGTTTATCTGTTTATTCATCACTTATGGAATGATACTTGATACTCTGGTAAATAAGGACGTATCGCTCCATGCTGAAGTTAGCCCCAAACGCATCTCTGATCATCTTTTTTTATTCTCCACAGAGTATTGTTAGTAAAAGCTTTGATCATATATGTATATATAATGTACTTATGTATCGTTTATCTTTGGGTGGTTAGTGCGTTGAGGGCTTTGACGTGGAGCTGATCTCAGCTACACGTGAGCATGGCTGCAGCTCGTCAGCAGTGCTGATTTTTTGCTTCTTGAGCAAGGACTCCTATGTTCCTTCCTCGTCTCTGCTCTTTTCATGCTGAGAAGATCCGTGAGCATAAAGCCATCAAAGTCGTCGCTGCTATGTCTGCTGCAACTGTGGGGGCTTGGAGGGCAGCGGCGTCTAGTCGACCTCTACGGTAAAGTCGGATTCGAGGCCTTCTTCGGTGAATTCACTGGAAATGTAGTCTAGGAGCCTCTCTTTCTTGTCCTTGAGAGGTTTCTAGGGACTGATCTTTCGTTATTTCATTTTCTGCCAATGAACTTAATCAAGTTAAATGTCTCTTTAGATAACACTGAAGAAGGACATCGAATACTGATTTGAACATCACTGTCTGTGTTTTACTTTTCGAAATACAACCATCTGCCCCTCAAGGGTGTTAATATCCGGATTTACTTTTGACCAAGGGCTCTTTGATTGGATCTAGAAACAGAAGAGAAAAAAAGAAAGTGGACAACAGAAAAGCTTCACAATTGAGATAGCGTTGTTGATACAAACAATACTTCTAATAAACGCGAATCCATTTGGGGGCAACCTTCAGTATACCTATTTTACCCGCGCAATAGATAGCCCAGCGAGACTCTTCGGCTCGTGTCACACCATCCTGTTCAAACTTTTCCCAAGGCGCATTACATAATCTTTACGCGGAACTTTTTTTTCCCCGATGCAATAAAAAAATCTCCCTGAGGAAAGAACTTTGGATTACTGCTTTTGCATAAATACCGAGCGCGGGTTATTCTTTTTTTCTTTTCTCTTATATTATTATTTATTATCAGTATGGTTTATCAAAAGACTTTTACATTGTGAGTATAAGAAATAGTTTAAAAAACAAAATGTGATATCCTCATACAAAACAAAGAAACAACGGCAATAAAATTCCTGCTGTCGGTTTAGGCACTTGGCAAGCTAGTGAAGAAAACGATAGTGTTTACAAGGCCATCAAAACGGCCATCGCAGCTGGATATAGACATTTTGATACTGCTATGGCTGTGAGTATATATATATATATATACATATGCTTATTAAACAAAAGAAAGAGGAACTAACAATAGTTAGTATGGAAATGAAAAAGAAGTGGGTCGAGGTATTCGAGATGGATTAAAAGAAAATGGGCTGGAGCGAAAAGATATTTTTGTCACCACCAAACTGGCGCCTATCCAAGCTCGTCCTTCAATTGTTCCCAAGGCATTTGAAGAATCTCTTGCTAAGCTTGATATAGAGTATGTTGATCTCTATATGTTACATTGGCCTGTTGCTCTGAACCCTGAACCTGGCGTCATGATTCCTTTGCGACCCGATGGTAGCCGAGATATTGATGAGCAGCTCAAAGGGCGATTTGAAGATACCTGGGCAGCTATGGAGAAATTGCTGGAGACAGGCAAGGTGAAGAATCTCGGTGTAGCTAACTTCTCTATTCCCAACTTGGAACGTTTACTAAAGACAGCCAAGGTCGTGCCTGCTGTCAACCAAGTTGAACTTCATCGTAGGATATCTCAAAA